CGACCCTGCCCTGGGTTAGGGTTTGGGGGTGGCGAGTAGGGGGTGGCGGGTGTGTGGTCTTCCCTGCTCCTCCTCCTCCTCTGTCTCCCACTGCTGCAGGTGCCGTTGAGGGGGGTGGGTGTGTGGGAGTCGACGGAGTGGTGCTAGGGGGTGGGGTGTGAGTGAACCTAGGGTGCAGCAGGGAGTGTGTGAAAAGGGGGGTGACGTGGGAGTGGAGCTAGGGGTGCAGCAAGGAGTGTGTGAAAGGGGGGTGGGACAGTTGGGGGAGGTTGAACGGAGGCTGTCCTCGTGCCGTTAGCAGCACCAGTAGTCCGGGGCGCTGCTCCGGTAGCCCAGTCGTAGCCAGCTACACCAGTCGCCCGTGGGTCCGTTGCTCCTGCCGCTCGTCTTAGCCGCGGAGCCAGTTACTCCAGTTGTCCGAGGCGCTGTTCCGGTAGCTGCTGTGCCAGTGTGACTCCTGTTGCCCGTGTGTCTGCAGCTTCAGCCGTCGCCTCCTATCTCCTCTCCTCTAACAGTCTCGCCTCCTCCTCCTCACTTGTCCTTCGTGAATGCCTCTAGCTTTGCTTGTCCTTGTGAACTTGCTCTATGCCTGCTTGCTCATTGTGCTGATTACACCCCACTTTGGCTATGGGGGTGTGTCAGAATGTTATAATTGTCTAGCCTGCAGAGGGGTACTCTATAGCGAGTACAACCCAATTAGGGTTTCCTATATGTATGCCAACTGCTGCTAGTGCAACCCCCCCTCTCTTCTTCATTCCTCATTCTTCACAGTCATGTAGCAAGCATCCAACTCGACGGGATGAACCCTCTGCTCAAGGGTCTATTCCAACATGGGTACTCCGTGGACAGCGAGATAGCAACGGCAGAGAAACAGAAGCTGTTACAGTGGGAGAAGGACTTAGCAGTAAGGAAGGGTTCAGGAAAGATTTGGGTACCGAATTACGCCCCGCTACGGCAGATCCTATTGGAGGAGTTTCACGACGTACCTTACGCGGGACATTTCGGGAGCAACAAGACGTTAGCAAAGATAGCGAAGTATTACTACTGGCCTGGGATGGCAGCAGACGTGCAGCAGTTCGTCACCTCTTGTGACACGTGCCAGCGGATGAAGAGTAGCAAGCAGAAAAAAACAGGGTTACTTCAGCCTCTACCCGTACCGGAGCAGCCATGGCAGGTCGTTAGCCTCGACTTCATCACGGGACTTCCTTCGACCTCACGAGGGCATGACGCTATTGTCAGTAGATCTGCACTGTGGATGCCCGATTGATCCTGGAGAGGGTTACAGGCAGAGACCCAAAATTCACCAATAAGTTTTGGAAGGAGCTCAGGGGGCTGTTGGGGACAAAGCTTGCAATGTCTTCAGCATACCACCCCCAGACTGATGGACAGACGGAGCGACTCAATCAGGTGGTTGAACAGTTACTTCGCACAGCTTGCAAAGACGACGTCAGCCACTGGGACACACAGTTACCGACCCTAGAGTTCTCTTACAACAACGCGTCACATGCGGCCACAGGGAAAACTCCTTTCTTCCTGTGTTACGGACGGGAACCACTCACACCACAGCAGCCAACCACACCGGCACACGTCCAAGCCGCACATGACTTCGTCACCACCATGCACCAGCTATGGGAGAAGACTCACCGACGTCTCACCACGATGCGGAACTCCCAGAAGCAGTATGCCGATCGTCAGCGACGTGATCACACAGTAACAGTCAGAGATCAAATGCTTCTTGACACGCGCAACTTGAACCTGTCTCTGTGAGAATTTAGGAATGAATAAACTAGCAAGCAGGTGGGTACAAGTAGGAAAACCTAGAAGTGTTGTACCCCTTATTGTCTACCCCTCTACAACCTACACAGACTATAGCATAGGATATAAGTTTGACACACCCCCATACACAAAGTGGGGGAGAACAAGAGGTCACAAGACCAGTCAAGCAAAGCAAAGCAAGCTCAGGGTGGATCACAACGTCACCACACACTCCGAGCACAAGAGCAAGGCCAAAAGGCCAGTTCACATGCAAGATCATATATAAAGGTAAACAAGCAAGTGCAGGTATAGAAAGATCACAGTACAAGCAAGGTCAAGAAGTGAGCAAGTGAGGCCAAGTAGGCACAAGACCTAACATCGTACAGAAGCGCTGATGATCACAAGGCGGAAGTGCCTTGGTGAAGATATCAGCATTGTTGGCCTCAGAGGTCACGTAAGCTAGGCGCAGCTAACCACGCTGGTGCAGCTCACGAGCAAGGAAGTAGCGAAGAGCAATGTGCTTCGTTCTGTACTCCAGTCTGTGCTCCCGACACAAGGCCAGCATGGCCTTGTTGTTTACGTACAGAACTGGAGGAGAACGAGGCGGCTCTCCTAGGTCAGTCAGCAGGTAGGTGAGCCAGCGTAGCTCCTGTGCAGCCATGGCCCCCGCGTAGATCTCAGCCTCACAACTGGAGTTGAGAACAGAAGACGAGCGGGTAGACCGCCACGAAACAGAGCCAGAGCCAAGGCTGAAGGTGTAACCCTGTGACAACCGCTGCAGAGCCTGGTCGTCAGCCCAAGAAGCGTCAGCGTGACCTGTGAGGACCACTCGACGTCGCCCTCCAAGCACTAGCCCCATGCCCGACGTACTGCACAAGTAGCGCAACACCCTCTTCGCTGCAGCCATGTGCTCAGGTCGGTGTCTCCCAGGAGCAACATAGCGTGCCAAGATGCTAAGAGGGTATGCAAGGTCAGGTCGTGTGCAGGTCATCAGGTACATGAGGCAGCCAACAAGCTCTGCGTACGGTGCCACTCGGCGCTACGGACTCATCCGAAGGCAGAGCTGAGAGCAAGTGGCGAGTAGACAGAGGAGTGGCCTGAGGCGAGGAGTACGTGAAGTCGAAGCGCTGAAGGACCTGCTGCACCATGTGTGACTGAGTCAGGGTAATGGTGCGCTGTGCTCTGTCCCGGGTGATCTGCAAGCCAAGGTAGCTGCGCAGTTCACCCAGGTCTGTGCACGTGTGTCTCTTCTACAGCTCGGACTTCACGTGGGCGAGTCCAGCAGTGTCAGCAGTGGCAAAGACCAAGTCGTCGACGTACACGAGGATGTAGAACGGCGGCAAAGAGGTGTCGGTGCGCAGAAACAGCGACGGGTCGGCTGTAGAAGGAGCAAACCCAAGAGCCGCAAGTGTAGTCTGTCGGAAAATATATATATACATATATTTTTATATGTAACTGCCTGTAGGATTGGTTACTGTAGTTATAGCGTTTTCCTATTTGGTGGTGCACCTTTCTTGCTTGTTCTCTCGTATTTGTACCCTTAAACCTATAGTGAAACCCCTCATTCTCTCGACTCCTTTCTCCTTTTCAACTTTCTCGAACTCAACTCACTCGATCTAACTAGCCACGGCTCCTAAGCCTTGCTAGAAATTTAACATAGTCCTCAGTGTGTCGTGTGTTAGAACATTATAGCTAATGCTATTGTGTAGGCTATAGTGGGGTATCCCATAGGGGGTACAACCCAACTAGGGTTTCATATTTGTACTCGCTTCATTCATAGTTCACATCATTCTCGTTCTAATCTTTTCATGGTATCGAGCAGGTCCCCCCTTGGGAACTGTGCTTAGGGCCCACCACATTGAGTTTCCTGCCCAAAGCGCGCTCAGCCCGAGTCGCGCTCCGGGCCCTCGCTTCGTCGAGCCGCCCTAGCGGCCCTTCACTGCGGCCCCGCCGCCTGTCTCAGCGGCCTCGCCGCCCTTTTCTGCGGCCCCGCCGCCTATCTCGTTGCGGCCCCGCCGCCCTTCACGGCGGCCCCTCCACCCGTCTCAGTGGCCCAGCCGCCCGTCTTCGCGGCCCCGCCGCCTCTCTCGCTGCGGCCCCGCCGCCTCTCACTGCGGCCCCGCCGCCCGTCTCAGCAGCCCCGCCGCCCGTCTTCGCGGCCCCGCCGCCTCTCTCGCTGCGGCCCCGCCGCCTCTCACTTTGGCCCCGCCGCCCGTCTCTGCGGCCCCGCCGCCCGTCTCCGCGGCCCCGCCGCCTCTCTAGCTGCGGCCCCGCCGCCTCTACCTGCGGCCCCGCCGCCCGTCTCAGTGGCCCCGCCGCCCGTCTTCGCGGCCCCGCCGCCTCTCTCGCTGCGGCCCCGCCGCCTCTCACTGCGGCCCCGCCGCCCGTCTCAGCGGCCCCGCCGCCCGTCTTCGCGGCCCCGCCGCCTCTCACTTCGGCCTCGCCGCCCGTCTCTGCGGCCCCGCCGCCCGTCTCCGCAACCCCGCGGCCTCTCTAGCTGCGGCCCCGCCGCCTCTCCCTGCGGCCCCGCCGCCCGTCTCAGCGGCCCCGCCGCCCGTCTTCGCGGCCCCGCCGCCTCTCTCGCTGCGGCCCCGCCGCCTCTCACTGCGGCCCCGCCGCCCGTCTCAGCGGCCCCGCCGCCCGTCTTCGCGGCCCCGCCGCCTCTCACTTCGGCCCCGCCGCCCGTCTCTGCGGCCCCGCCGCCCGTCTCCGCGGCCCCGCCGCCTCTCTAGCTGCGGCCCCGCCGCCTCTCTAGCTGCGGCCCCGCCGCCTCTCACTGCGGCCCCGCCGCCCGTCTCTGCGGCCCCGCCGCCCCTCTTGCTGCGGCCCCGAGCCCTACCAGCGGCCCTACGGCCCTACACCGCCCGCGCCACCCGAGCTGCCCGACCCGCCCGACCCGCCCGAGCCGCCCGAGCTGCCCGACCTGCCCGAGCCGCGCGAGCCGCCTGAGCTGCTAAGGAGCCGAGCCGCCCGACCCGCCCGAGCCGCCCGAGCCGCCCGAGTAGCCCGAGCCCCCTGAGCCGCTGAGGAGCCGAGCCGCCCGACCCGCCCGAGCCGCCCGAGCCGCCTGAGCCGCTATGGAGCCGAGCCGCCCGAGCCGCCCGAACCGCAGTTGCTGCTGAGCCGTCCGAGCAGCCGCGTTGCTGTGCTGCTGAGCTGCCCGACCCGCCCTGTCTGGTGAGAGCAGCGCTCCTGTCACTGCACTGCCCCTGTCCTACGGGTAGTACTGCTAGGCTACTGTCATCATGACTACCCCTAGTGTCCTCGCTTTTGACGCTGAGGGTCGGGCCATCGACTTTGAGGTCTGGGTAGACGACCTGCAGCTGTTCTTACGGTGCGATAGGGCAGACGACCTCTCTCTCTTTGACCTCACCTCTGGCGCTTCCCCTGCCCCTGCTGCTGATGCTGACGCCACTGTTCGCTCCCAGTGGGCCACGCGCGACGCTGCTGCATGTCTTGCTGTGCGTCGCCACCTCCCTACCTCCGAGCGTGAGCTTTTTAGTCAGTACAAGAGTGCTCAGACCTTGTACGACGCTGTAGTCGCGCGCTACTCCTCCCCTGCCACTGCTGCACTGAGCCGTCTCATGCTACCGTACCTCTTCCCTGACCTTGCTGCCTTTCCCCCCGTGGCTGACCTCATTACGCACCTCCGCACTAGTGACACTCGCTACCGCGCTGCACTCCCTGCTGAATTCTGCGCCAAGAACCCCCCCCCCCCCCCATGTACATCACTCTGTACTTCCTAGTCACTCGCCTTCCTGACTCCCTTCGTGTAGTCAGGGACCACTTTCTCTGAGTCTGTCCCACCACACTCACTGTCCATCTCCTCGAGAAGGCCCTCTTAGCAGCGGAGAAGAGTATAGTCGCTGTAGGAGCCTCTCGAGGTGACCCGCGCACCCCCATCTTTGAGGGGTGTTCCCCCTCCCCCCTGCTGCCCTCTGTTGCCTATGCTGCTACGGCCGACCTCCTTGGTCTTGAGTCGGTCGGTGCGGCATCTGCCCCTAGCGGGAGACGCCGCCCTGGCAAGGGCAAGGGGGGCAAGGGAGCAGGAGGAGCGGGCAGTGGAGGTGGAGGTGGAGGCGGTGGGGGTAGTGGGGGTGGCGGTGGGAGTGGAGGTGCGGGTGGGGGGGTCAATGGCGGCGGTGGAGGCGGAGGCGGCGGCGGCGGTGGCGGTGGGAGCGGAGGTGGCGGAGGAGGCGGCGGTGGAGGCGGCGGTGGAGGCGGCGGTGGAGGCGGCGGCAGTAGCGGAGGCGGCGGAGGCGGTGGGGGTGGCGGTGGAGCTGGTCGCGGGCCTTCGCAGAGGAGTCGCTCCGGTAGTGGCGCGCGTCAGCAGCAGCAGCGCGGTCGTGAGACCTTGTCCCCTCAGCAGCTCCGTGAGTGGTACACTGCACGCCAGCGGGGTGGGGGTTTTGGTCCGTGCACCTACGTCTTGCGCACCGGCGACCGTGCGAGTGAGCAGTGTGGGGGTCCGCACCCCACCCAGCGCTGCTTTGGCCGCCTGACGGACGCGTGGCGTCACCAGTTCCCAGAGGCCTCAGAGATTCCTTGCTGGGGCGAGCTGTCTAGGGCGGGTGTTGCCATCTTTGATCTTGACTTTGATGCTATTCTATCTGCCATGTATGCTGTGTCTCATAGTGATGAGGGTGACTGCTACCGCTGTTTCCCGCCCGATCCGGGCATTGAGGCTGCTGCCCTAGGTGCTTGCGACGCTGCTGCTCTAGGTGCTAGTGTGTCTGCGTCCTCAGGTACTGGTGAGTCTGCGCTCTCAGGTACTACGTCGGCTTTGGCCTCCCTCACCTTCACTCTTGACTCTGGGGCGTCTCGCTCCTTCTTTCGGGACCGCACCACACTCACGCCGCTTAGTCGGCCGGTTGCGGTGTCTCTGGCTGACCCCTCCGGGGGTCCTGTACTGTCTCGCTTCTCCACAGTCCTCCCGTGTCCGGCGGCTCCCTCTGGCACCCTGTCTGGTCTCTACCTCCCCTCGTTCTCGACGAACCTGGTGAGTGGTGCTGACCTACAGGATGGGGGAGTACACCAGTTCACTCCTGCGCGTCAGCGGGTGACGCACTGTACAGAGGCTAGCACAGGCCGGCACCTGGCTACGTTTACCCGTCAGCCGGATCAAGCCTGTACACACTGACCACTGCGTCTCCTCCCGTTACTGAGTCTGGTAGAGTCGCTTCGTCCGGTCAGGTGTTTGCTGCAGCGTCTAGGTCTGGTCCTGAGTCTGCCCCCTGTTCGTGTCGTCTCTTGTCTCATGAGACTCTCCTCTGGCACCACCGTCTTGGTCACCCCTCTCTGCTTCGGCTCAGAGGCATGGCCTCCCGTCTTCTTGTGTCTGGTCTCCCCCGGTCCCTCCCTCCCCTTCCTCACGGCCCTGGCCCTGCCTGTGTCCCCTGTGTCGAGGGACGCCAGCGGGCTGCCCCCCACTCCTCCCAGTTTCCTCCGACAGAGGCCCCGTTGCAGACGCTTCACATGGACGTGTGGGGCCCGGCCCGCGTCCGTGGACAGGGTCACGAGCGCTACTTCCTGCTCGTTGTTGACGACTACTCGCGTTACACCACGGTCTTCCCCTTGCGCAGCAAGGGTGATGTCACTGAGGTGCTGATCGACTGGATCCGCGCGGCTCGTCTCCAGCTCAGGCGGAGCTTTGGCTCGGACTTCCCTATTCTGCGTCTGCACTCGGACAGAGGCGGAGAGTTTTCCTCTGGCCTACTGCGAGCCTACTGTCGCGCAAGAGGCATCCGTCAGACCTTCACGCTTCCGGACTCACCGCAGCAAAATGGGATTGCTGAGCGCCGCATTGGCATGGTCATGGACGTCGCTCGTACGTCTATGATGCATGCGGCTGCCCCCCATTTTCTGTGGCCGTTTGCGGTCAGGTACGCGGCGCATCAGATCAACCTCCACCCCAGGGTCTCCAGGTCGGAGACCTCCCCAGCCTTACTGTGGACGGGGAAGGTTGGCGATGCGTCGGCGTTCCGGGTCTGGGGATCACGGGCGTTTATCCGCGACTTGTCTGCGGACAAGCTGTCCCCTCGTGCTGCTCCTTGCGTCTTCCTTGGGCTCCCCCCTGACGCGCCTGGGTGGCAGTTCTACCACCCCACCTCTCGACGTGTTCTGTCCTCCCAGGCCGTCACGTTTGACGAGTCGGTCCCCTACTACCGCCTCTTCCCCTACCGCACTCCGTCCCTCCCCCCACCCCCGCTCTTCCTTGTACCAGGTCCCCCCCAGGTAGACTCCCTCCCCCCTCAGGGTCCTGCCCCTTCAGGTGTGTCCCAGGTAGATGCAGTCGAGCCTGTCGAGGTCACTGGTGACTCTGGTGGTGCTAGGGGTGCTGAGCCTGGGGGTGCTCGACCTGGGGGTGCGGAGTCTGGGGGTGCTGAGCCTGGGGGTACTGCGTCTGGGGGTGCTGAGCCTGGGGGTACTGAGCCTGGGGGTGCTGAGCTTGGGGGTGCTGAGCTTGGGGGTGCTACGCCTGGGGGTGCTGAGCTTGGGGGTGCTACGCCTGGGGGTGCTGGGAGTGGAGGTGCTCCGCCTGGAGGTTCTCCGGGTGCTTCTTCTCGCCGGGAGCCACTCTCTCCACAGGAGCTGCACGAGTGGTTTGCCCGGCGCTGGCGCCGTACTGCTGGTGCTGGAGGTTCTTCGGCTGCTGAGGGTGCTGCGGTCGCGGGTCCCGAAGGTGCTCGTACTGGGAGTACTGGAGCTGCTGGGCCTACGGGTTCGACTTGGAGCTGGTGCTGCTGAGGGTGTTGGCGCTGAGACTACCGCTGGCGGTCCTACTGGGGGTGCTCCTGGTGCTGCTGGAGGTGCTGCTGGAGCGGGTGCTCCTGCTGATGGTACTGGTGCTGTACCTGCTGCTTCTGGCGTCATCACGCGGCCTCGTCCGTACTTTGTTCCACTCCTGCAGCAGGTTCTTGGTCTTCCACCTTCTACTGGTCCTCCTCCTCCCTTAGAGTGTCCACAGCCTGTCCCGTCACAGTCACAGCTACAGCCTGCCTCCCCTCTGCCTGCTCCTTCTCCCTACGCTGGTCCTACTGGAGGTCTTACTGAGCGTCGTGAGCCTACGTCTCGTCCTGCGTCGGCTGTTAGAGCTGCTCGCGCTAGTGGTCGCGGTTCGCGCCAGCGTCCTCCTCCTGTCCCTGGCACGCACCGGATGTCTCTGCGTCCGTCTACTGCTCCTCTGCGTGCCCCTTTGCCTTCCCCTCCTGAGTCCTCTCTTCCTGCACTTGCCGACCGTGAGTCGGTCTCTCTTCGTGCTGCCAGTCCTACTGTCACACGTCTCCTTGCTACTGTTGTCACGGACCCTTCTTTCGAGCCTACTGCTGCGTCTGCTCTTGTTACTGAGCTCGTCGACTTTGCTGCTCGCTGTCGCTTAGACTACGCTGCTAGTCTTGTCGCTTAGTCTGAGTCTGTCTGTCCTCCGTCCGTCGAGGGTGAGTGTGCCCTTAGCACAGACGTCCTTGAGGACAAGCAGGAGGAGTTCCAGTGTTTGGCAGCTGCTTCACCTCATCTCGTGTCCGTACTGCTTACCCCTGAGGGAGACCCGGATGCACTTGACATCCCGACTCCGCGCTCTTACGCGGAGGCGATAGAGGGTCCCTACTCCTCTCAGTGGCAGGCAGCTATGGATGCAGAGATGGCTTCCTGGAAGTCCACAGGCACCTACGTTGACGCTGTCCCCCCTCCTGGGGCGAACATCGTCAGTGGCATGTGGATCTTCAGGGTGAAGCGGCCGCCGGGTTCTCCGCCAATCTTCAAGGCGCGTTACGTGGCTCGTGGCTTCAGTCAGCGGCAGGGAGTTGACTACTTTCAGACCTTCTCCCCCACCCCGAAGATGACCACTCTTCGGGTGCTGCTGCACATTGCTGCTCACCGTGACTACGAGCTCCACTCTCTCGACTTCAGCACAGCTTTCTTGCAGGGCAGCCTGCACGAGGAGATCTGGCTGCGCCGCCTATCTGGCTTCACTGGGTCTTTCCCTCTTGGTACCCAGTGGAGTCTCCGGCGTCCAGTCTACGGTCTCCGCCAGGCGCCACGTGAGTGGCACGACACACTGAGGACTACGCTTGCGGCTCTTGGGTTTGCTCCTTCTACTGCCGACCCGTCGCTGTTTCTGCGCACCGACACCTCTCTGCCGCCGTTCTACATCCTCGTGTACGTCGAAGACTTGGTCTTTGCCACACCTGACACTGCTGGACTCGCCTACGTGAAGTCCGAGCTGCAGAAGCGACACACGTGCACAGACCTGGGTGAACTGCGCAGCTACCTTGGCTTGCAGATCACCCGGGACAGAGCACGCCGCACCATTACCCTGACTCAGTCACACATGGTGCAGCAGGTCCTTCAGCGCTTTGGCTTCACGTACTCCTCGCCTCAGTCCACTCCTCTGCCTACTCGCCACTCACTCTCAGCTCTGCCTTCGGATGAGTCCGTAGAGTCGAGTGGCCCGTATCCAGAGCTTGTTGGCTGCCTCATGTACCTGATGACCTGCACACGACCTGACCTTGCATACCCTCTTAGCATTCTTGCACGCTATGTTGCTCCTGGGAGACACCGACCAGAGCACATGGCTGCAGCGAAGAGGGTGTTGCGCTACTTGTGCAGTACGTCAGGCATGGGGCTAGTGCTTGGAGGGCAGAGTTCAGTGGTCCTCACTGGGCACGCAGACGCTTCTTGGGCTGACGACCAGGCTACGCAGCGGTCATCACAGGGTTACACCTTCAGCCTTGGTTCCGGCTCTCTTTCGTGGCGGGCTACCCGCTCGTCTTCTGTTCTCGACTCCAGTTGTGAGGCTGAGATCTACGCCGGGGCTATGGCTGCCCACGAGCTTCGCTGGCTCACCTACCTGCAGACCGACCTTGGAGAGCCGCCTCGTTCTCCTCCAGTCCTGTACGTAGACAACAAGGCCATGCTGGCCTTGTGTCGAGAGCAGCGACTGGAGCACAGGACAAAGCACATTGCTCTCCGTTACTTTCTTGCTCGTGAGCTACAGCAGCGTGGATAGTTGCGGCTTGCGTTCGTGGCCTCTGAGGCCAACACTGCTGATGTTTTCACCAAGGCACTTGCGCCTTGTGATCATCAGCGCTTCTGCACTCAGCTGGGTCTTGTGCCTGTCTTGCCTCACTTGCTCACTTCTTGACCTTGCTTGTACTGTCACATATATATACTCCTGCTCTTGCTTGCTTAGCCTCGTATAGATATATATATGTGCTCTTGCATGTGAACTGGCCTTTTGGCCTTTGAACTTGTGCTCGGAATGTGTGGTGACTTTGTGATCCACCCTGAGCTTTGCTTTGCTTTGCTTGACTGGTCTTGTGACCCCTTGTTCTCCCCCACTTTGCCTATGGGGGTGTGTTAGAACATTATAGCTTATGCTATTGTGTAGGCTATAGTGGGGTATCCCATAGGGGGTACAACCCAACTAGGGTTTCATATTTGTACTCGCTTCCTTCATAGTTCACATCATTCTTGTTCTAATCTTCTCATCGTGCCACTCACGGGGTGCCTGGCGGAGACCGTAGACTGGCCGCCGGAGGCTCCACTGGGTACCAGAAGGAAACGACCCAGTGAAGCCAGGTGGGTGGCGCAGCCAGATCTCCTCGTGCAGGCTGCCCTGCAGGAAAGCTGTGCTGAAGTCAAGAGAGTGAAGCTCGTAGTCGCGCTGAGCGGCTATGTGCAGTAGCACTCGAAGAGTGGTCATCTTCGGGGTGGGAGAGAAGGTCTGAAAGTAGTCAACTCCCTGCCACTGACTGAAGCCTCGAGCCACGTAACGCGCCTTGAAGACAGGCGGAGAACCCGGCGGCCGCTTCACCCTTAAAATCCACATGCCACTGACGATGTTCGCCCCAGGTGGGGGAACCTCGTTGATGTAGGTGCCCGTGGACTTCCAGGAAGCCATCTCTCCGTCCATGGCTGACTGCCACTGTGAGGAGTAGGGACCCTTGATCGCCTTAGTGTACGATCAAGGAGTCGGGATGTCCGGTGCATTGAGGTCTCCCTCAGGGGCAATCAGCGTGGACACGAGATGAGGCAAAGCAGCAGAAAAGCACTGGAACTCCTCCTGCCTGTCCTCAAGGATGTCCGTGCTAAGAGCACACTCAACCCCGACGGACAGAGGACAGACAGACTTAGACTCAGCAACAAGGCTAGCGGCGTAGTCTAGACGACAACGAGCAGCGAAGTCGACAAGCTCAGCAACCGAGGCAGACGCAGCAGTGGACTCAAAGGAAGGGTTAGTGACAACAGTGGCCAGGAGACGCGTGACAGTAGGACTGGCAGCACGAAGAGAGTCAGACTCAGGATCAGCAAGAACAAGAAGAGAGGACTCTGGAGGAGACGGCAATGGGACACGCAGAGGAGCAGTGGAAGGACGCAGTGCCATGTGGTGTGTGCCGGGGACCGCAGGAGGACGCGGACGCGGAACACGACGACTAGTGCAAGCAGCACGAACAGGCGATGCGGGACAAGACGCAAGCTCGATGCAAGACCTCGAGTAGGACCAGTGTAGGGAGAAGGAGCAGGTAGGGGAGGGGCGGGCTGTAACTGTGACTCTGACTGGACAGGTTGTGGACACTCTAAGGGAGGAGCAGGACCTGTAGAGGGCGGGAGACCAAGAACCTGCTCAAGGAGCGGAACGAAGTACGGCCTCGGCCGCGCAGCGCCTCCAGAACCAGTAAGGACAACACCAGTACCCCCAGCGGCAGCACAAGCGTCAGCAGCACCTCCAGCTCCAACAGCGCCAACTCCAGCACCCTCAGATGCACCAGCGCAAGCAGAAACACCAGCGCTAACATCCCCAGTAGCTCCAGCTCGAGCAGCTCCAGCAACACCAACTCCAGCAGGACCGGTAGCTCCAGTACGGCCAGCAGCTCCAGCAGAACTAACTCCAGCAGCCTCAACAGCACCCCCAGTCCCAGCAGCTCCAGTACCGCCAGTACGAGCACCTCTGGGACCAGCAACAGCAGCAGTACCTCCAGCTCCAGCAGCACGGCTCCAGCGCCGGGCAAACCAATCGCGCAGCTCCTGTGGAGAGAGTGGCTCCCGCCTTGACGAAGCACCGCCGGCGGCCACACGAGCAGACTTAGGGCCCCCAGGCTCCGCACCCCAAGGCTCCGCACCCCCAGACTCAGCACCCCCAGGCTCAGCACCTCCAGACTCAGCACCCCCAGGCTTAGCACCCCCAGACTCAGCACCTCCAGGCTCAGCACCCCCAGACTCAACACCCCCAGGCTCAGCACCCCCAGACTCAGCACCTCCAGACCCGACACCCGCAGGCTCAGCAGCTCTAACAGCACTAGAGTCAACAGCTACCTCGACAGGCTCGACTGCGTCTACCTGGGACACACCTGACGGGGCTGGACCCTGAGGGGGGAGGGGGTCTACCGTGGGAGGACCTGGCGCAAGGAAGAGCGGCGGCGGGGGGAGGGGAGCAGTGCGGTAGGGGAAGAGACGGTAGTACACACCGACTCGTCAAAGGTGACGTCCTGGAAGGACAGAACACGGCGTGAGGTGGGGTGGTAAAACTGCCAACCAGGCGCGTCAGGGGGGAAGCCAAGGAAGACGCAGGGAACAGCACGAGGGGACAGCTTGTCCGCAGACAAGTCGCCGGCAAACGCCCGAGATCCCTAGACCCGAAACGCAAACGCATCGCCAACCTTCCCCGTCCACTGCAAGGTGGGGGAGGTCTCTGGCAAGGAGACCCAGGGCTGAAGGTTGAGCTGATGCGCTGCGTACTGAACCGCAAATGGCCACTGAAAATGGGGGGCAGCCGCATGCATCATGGACGTACGAGCGACGTCCATGTCCATGCCAATGCGGCGCTCAGCAATCCCATTTTGCTGTGGAGAGGCCGGTAGCGTGAAGGTCTGGTGGATGCACTGTGCCCGACAGAAGGCTCCCAGACGGGCAGAGGAAAACTCCTCGCCTTTGTCAGAGTGCAGACGCATAACAGGAAAGTCCGAGCCGAAACTCTCCCTGAGCTGGAGACGAGCTGCGCGGATCCAGTCGATCAACACCTCAGTGACGTCACCCTTGCTGCGCAAGGGGAAGACTGTGGTGTAACGCGAGTTGTCGTCAACCACCAACAGGAAGTAACGCTCGTGCCCCTGTCCACGGACGCGGGCTGGGCCCTACATGTCCATGTGGAGAGTCTGCAGCGGAGCCTCTGTCGGAGGAAACTCGGAGGAGTGAGGGGCGGCGCGCTGTCGCCCCTCGACGCAGGGGACGCAGGTAGGGCCAGGCCCTGGAGGTAGGGGAGGGAGAGACCGGGGGAGACCAGAGACAAGGACACGGGAGGCCATGCCTCGGAGACGAGGCAGGGAGGGGTGACCAAGACGTTGGTGCCAAAGGAGAGTCTGGTGGGACATGAGACGACACGAGCAGGGAGCAGACTCAGGACCAGACCTGGACGCTGCAGCAAACACCTGACTCAACGCAGCTACCTGGCCAGACTCAGCAGCCGGAGGAGACTCAGTAGTAAGGGTGTACAAGCTCGACCTTGGCCGACGAGTGAACGTGGCCAAGTGTCGGCCTGTCCGAGCACACGTGCAGTGGGTCACCCGCTGACTCGAAGGAGTGAACTGGTCAACCCCCCTATCCTGTAGGTCCGCTCCACTCACCAAGTTCGTAGAGAACGAGGGGAGGTAGAGACCTGACAGGGTGCCAGAGGGGGCTGCCAGGCACGGTAAGACAGTGGAGAAGCTAGCAAGGACAGGACCCCCAGAGGGGTCCGCCAGGGAGACTGCAACCGGCCGACTAAGCCGCGTAAGCATGGTGCGGTCTCGAAAGAAGGAGCGGGACGCACCCGAGTCAAGGGTGAAGGTGTGTAAGGCCTGCGCCGACGTAGTACCTGAGAGAGCAGACTCACCAGCACCTGGGGCAGCAGACGCACTAGCACCTGGGGCAGCAGACGCACTAGCACCTGGGGCAGCAGACGCACTAGCACCTAGAGCAGCAACCTCACCAGCACCTAGAGCAGTAGCCTCAATGCCCGGGTCAGGCGGTACACACAGGTAGCAGACACCGTCAACACTAGTAGTCACAGCATACATGGCAGCAAGGATAGCATCATAGTCAAGATCAAAGATGGCAACCCCCGCCCTAGACAGATCTCCCCAGCGAGGGATCTCTGACGCCTCAGGGAACTGGTGACGCCACGCGTCCGTCAGGCGGCCGAAGCAGCGCTGGGTGGAGTGCGGGCCCCCGCACTGCTCACCAGCGCGGTTGCCGGTACGGAGGACGTAAGTGCAGGGACCAGTACCCCCACCGCGCTGACGCGCAGCGTACCACTCACGAAGCTACTGAGGGGACAGGGTCTCACGACCGCGCTGCTGCTGCTGGCGCGGACCACCACCGGACCCACTTCTCTGCGCAGAGTCGCGACCAGCTCCACCGCCGCCGCTGCCACTGCCTCCGCCGCCCCTGCCACCTCCGTCGCCTCCGCCACCTCCGCCGCCTCCGCTCCCTCCGCCACCACCGCCGCCTCCGCCGTCTCCACTGCTGCCACCGCCGCCGCCACCCCCGCCACCACTCCCACCACCACCCCCACCCCCTCCACTGCCTCCACCACCACCTCCACCGCCCCCGCTAGCCCCTCCAGCTCCCTTGCCCCCCTTGCCCTTGGCGGTGCGGCGTCTCCCGCTAGGGGCAGACGCAGCGCCGACCCCGTAGTAACCAACGAGGTCGGCAGCAGCAGCAGAAGCAACAGAGGGCAAGAGGGGGGAGGGGGAACACCCCTCAAAGACGGGGGTGCAAGGGTCACCACGAGAGGCTCCTACAGCGACTATGCTCTTCTCTGCTGCTAGGAGGCGCTCTTTGAGGAGGTCAACGGTGAGAGTGGTGGGGCAAACTGAGAGGAAGTGGTCCCTGACTAAGCGAAGAGAGTCAAGGAGCCGGGTGACTATGTAGTAGAGGGTGATGTACATGGGGGGGGGTTCTTGGCGCATAACTCAGCAGGAAGCGCGGCGCGGTAGCGAGTGTCACTAGTGCGGAGGTGCGTAATGAGGT